GGCGCAAACGACATTGCAAGGGGGTCCTTGACGAACCTGTACGGGACATCAGTCCTAGAGCGAGATTTTCGCTGCTTGCAGCGCGACTTCTCCTGAGTGCAGATGTAAGGTCTCGCATTCTTACGCGGACACTTGCAGCCAGGCTTAATGCGGTGTACGAAAGCAGCACTGTGATTGGTTGCGTTCGGCTTGGTGGGGGCATTTTTCCAATTACCGCTGGATCACTGCCGACGCCTCCTGTTGGGCATGTCAACTTTTGTAAAGCTACGAATTTGCAAGGCCTTCGTTTATACTTCACAAGGGTCTACAGGTCTTCCCAAGGTGGGTTGTGTAGTTTGACAGAAACAGCAAAAGAAACTAGCGAAAGTGCGGAATGCCCCCCCCCCCTCCAAGCCGAACAGCTCCTTGAGATTGTGTCGACTGTATTTAAGGCTTTCAATAGAAGTTTACTTTCGTACTTTCATGATGATGCGATTTTATTAATGCCAGTTGTTTTTCAGCAGCGAGAGGAAACGATCGCCTCACTACCACCTGCACTACGCGACACAGTCAGTTCCCTATACAGTTCATTACGTAGTGAAAATCTGGACGCTTTCCATTCGGCCGTTTTCGATCTTTCATCTCCTGCAGCACTTTCGATTGCGCTGAGGCAACCTGATTCGAAGGCTAGGTATTCAACTACTCTCTGACTTATTTCTTACTGGGAACGGCGCTGTTCGGCTAGGGGAGGGATACTTGCCTTCCGCCAGTTCCTAGTCTCTTGTTAGTTAATGTTTACTAACAAGTTCCGCCTTGGCGAGGCTTGCAAACTCATGCGAAGCTGCTCATTTGTGCAGCTAACCCACTTTGGTATTAGAATTTAAGAGGTCTTGATAGGGTGGTCCAAACAAGCTTCGCTGAGTGCCATTTCATGCCCCCACCGAGCCGAACTGCACCGAAAAAGTAAAACTGCACTCCTTTTGATTTTCGTTTTACCGTAGTCCTGTAACAATAACTCCTTTACAGAGCCGAGGTGCTGGAAAGTTATGTCGCCGAACTGAAAGAGCAGGTGATAGCCCAGACCGACCCAGCTGCTGTGCTGTTGTCATGTGTTCTTTACCTGCTGGCCAAACACGGAAAACCTGTAACCGCTAGCGGACGGTTCGTTGCGCAGCTGGTGACGCAGTTGAATGGAGTTGTGGAACAGGTACTTTTTAAACAAACTAGTGCAGTATATACGGGGAACTGTGTGTGATGTTCCAAGGCCCCATGAGTCAAAGGAGACACAGGACAGCGCCTTCTCTTGCTAGATAAGCACTAAATAATAATATCTGGTGGTCTAAAGGTAATGCGGGAGAATCGTCAACTTAATTATATATTCTTTCTTTACGGACAAAGGATTCAGGTCATTTTTTTGTTTACGGTTCCTATAAGTTTTTACGTTCGCGCCTATCCTGGAATGTGTGTGAAGCAGCGAGTATTTAATCCCTACACCAAAAAGATATTCAGTCCGGGGAATGCTGGGTTCAGAAGTAAGCTTTACTCAGTGAAACAATGGCTGCCAGATTGGTACTGGGCTAAACTAACTGGTAGATCATACGCGTAGAGGTTCTGTTAGGAGAATACGACGTACGGTTTAGAATCTGCGGTCGATGTGGAGGGAGGAAGAGATTAATTACTGGATGCTTACAATAATGATTGAAGTAGCTTAGTGAAATTTGACGCGGGTTGAGACAGTTTTTCCCAAGTACTGTCTACTAATAGCTAGGAGGAGTTGAGTATCAGTACTTGATGGCCGGGACACGTTTGCGGTAGGACTCAGTATAGTCAAAGGTTTTCGGTAGATGTGCAGAATGTGTGACTGATACGTGTCAATTCGCTTGCGTACGGTTCGAATGTGTGTCCTTGTGAAAGGTATTGTGTACTTTCAAGAGGGGTGGGTGGATTTCAGTTGAATGTTGCTCGTTGACTGGTCGGTATAATTGTGGAGCGGTAGAAGCAATATAGACGCGGTTTTTTATTGAGCTGGGTTTTTGTGTTTTTTTTTGTTCTCAACAGGTGTTGTTTGTCCATGTGTTGTATGTTCTTGTGCTATTGGCGAGCGTCTGCACTAGAGATGGCATGAATTTGAAAGAGTAGCAGATGTACTGACGCGTGAATGAGGGTACTCACAACTGTGACATGAACAGACGGGGGCATGGTGCGAAATATTATAGAAATAGGTGCTTGTTGAGTGGTCATATTCATGTTAATGTAGGGGCGAGCTGGTGCAGAGGTAAATAGTACTCTTGGTTCCTGCGTATGCTGGCCGCGTGGTCATGAGGGCAGGACGATGGGCGCTTTTGACTCGGGCGCGCTTTTCCGCACCAAGTAATTGTCGAACTGCGCACACGGCCGCGTCCGGTAATTGGTGCAGATACGCTGCTGGTGTCTAAGGACGGTACGTGAGACGGAATCTGCCAGGCGATCACTGTATTATGTGGGAGCTGAGGCGAGGAAGCAGTGGTGCACGAGAGAATAGAGAAATAATAAACAGCCGCGTTTTTTTATTAAAATGACACGGTGGAGGTGGAGATCGTAAGCGGATCACGGACAGCAAAACGGGCACAGACGTAGAAGAGTTCTAGAGCACTTATTGAGCTATGCTGAGCCTTGAAAAGGAGAAATCCGCTTTGCTACGGATCGCGCCATCTGGTCCGAAAAGGGCTTTTGCATGAATCGCGACACTCTACGAACTCTCGAATCATCGCAATTATATTTTGCCCACCTTTCTGAGTTACCCTCAAATAGCTTTTTCGAGTCTACTTGTCCTGTCTATGGCGAAAACGATGTTCTAGAAATAAATATCATTTACTTTAGCATAATAAAGTTCACATCTTGTTAGATTTCTACTTCAGAGCTTATTTGATCTGCTGGTGTCAGTGCAACGGCTGGTCGTGCAGTGTCTGAAGAACAAGACCGATGAGGTGGCCAAGGATATGCTATCGTCGGAAGTCGGAAAGCTGAAAGAGATGGTGTCAGTTTAGCATATGAACGCCACGTAAAGTGATGCCCACCTCCAGCTCCCTCTTTCTACATTAGTCTGCAAATTTTCTGGATTAGTTTTTTTTCTGGCTAGTCGAGGGTATGCGAATTGTCTGTATCAAATGTCCAAGATAACCTGATTTGGAGGGGTGACGCTTCAGTGCGTATAGGTTCCTTCCTCTTTCGCAAGCTTGATCTGAGCAGAGCGCAGACGAACAGTGTTCGCTTGGCCTAGTCTCGCAAAGCAAACATAGTCAAGCTGCCGCTTAGACCCCTTCAACTGGCACTCATTTTTATTTTTTTCGGCTTGAAACAAGTAGGGGTAGGGTTCTCTCTATTCTCGGCGATTAATGTGTTAGACAGAGATTTTATTTTTATTACCTTTTTCTATTTTCTGCTGTTTTACGGTTGTTCCTTAGAGGTTGCCAAAGTAATGTGATTCAACTGTAGTCGATTTTTGTTTATTTTTGAAGCTAATTTTCTGTCTATTGGTTCCATTTGCTGTGCCAGTTGTGGATCCCCTGAAAAAGTATGGTTCCTGGGAGCGCCACCTCTATCACAGCGTGCTTTCTATATAGAGGATTTCGCGGCCTTAAAGGCAGTGGGCACGATTGCTGAAGGCGGGCGGTTGATGCCGGCGTTAGTGGTTTAAAGGCTGCGAGAGGGCATACCTGAAGCTTAGGGTAAGCGCAGATCTATCGAAAAGGGTGATAACGTTTGTCTTAGACATTTCGAATTTATATCAAGATTTACAAATGTGGCATTTTGAAATCAGAATTGAGCGCCCCTAAACTGCTGGACTGTATTTCCCTAGAATTTTCCCAGTCGTTCATCTCAGTGCTGGAGACAGCATGTCCACATTAGTGATATGAGTGAGGTAGTGCGCAAAGGTTGCCGGATCACGCGTAAATCTCACTTCTCTCTGGTTGGAACGGCAACTGTTTCACGCTACTGTACCCACACCCGAGTTCGTGGTCACTCCCCCTCCGACGCTGTGATACGGACCGTACCCACATCCGAAAATTCTTTGTCAGGCTTCGTTTTCGAGTGTATTGATGTGGCTTCCTTTTCCTGCCACATTATCGGTCATGGTGATTTACATATTTATTTGCCTAGTGGAATAAAGATTTAAATTTCACTTCTTGTTCATGCAATAGCACTCTACATGCCTTTTCATGAAGAGTATGGGCAATCTGCACGAATCATTTCCAGCTATGTACTTCCCGAGATCTGTTTATTCTTGTGCTATTT